TTTATTAACGACACTGTTGAGTATATCAGTGTCAGTATCTGGTTATATGCGGATAATATGAAAATATTTCATAGATATACCTAACTAATGTCAGCGAATACTACATGTTGAATAATTTACATCTTAATCTGTCAAAGTGTTGTGTCTGAAATAAAATTTAATTACATTCTTGATGGCACTAATCTCCAAAATATATATTCATCTAAAGATCTAGAAGTAACATTTTGATCTTAAACTTTAACCTCAAACTTTGATCTTAAACTAACGTTTATCATTTGTAGATTACATCGAAAATAATCATTTTATGTTATCTGATATTATTCGGTACACTTCGAGATTTTACAGATATTAGAGAGATATTACAAGTTCACTTAAGGTCAGCCACTATTAGCGTCGCTCTTATTTTGATGTCTGAGTATGCGCAGATCGTTTGCGTTCTATGACTGACTTTATTAAAGATAGTGCCTGTCCTTAATTGTGGATGTTAGACGATTTTATTAGCTTTCGGGTGCGCACTCCAACATTCGTATTAGTTCGAAGTTTTCTAATATTAAATATAATATCATCATCATCATCATCTAAATCTCCTAAAAATAACAATTTTTAATGCATCTGCCATATTATGTACCATTACAGTCAACGAAAAAGATAAACCACGATGTAATGTTTTTAAAATAAAGTTAATAATTTGTATGAAGACAAGGACTCTAATGTCAAAACATCAGGTTTGCAATAAGTTTTATTTCAGCATGGAATTTATTTGCCTCTAATTACGTTGTCACTATTAGTGGCTGACGTTACATAAATTTGCAATATATCTCTATTGTTACTCTCAAACATCTTTATTTTCGCGTTCTTTCGATCTAAGTTACAGTTTAAATCGGTAATTTTGAGTCCCAACTATAAAATTCATATTGACAGCCTGGAATCAAATCAACGACGTTTTTTGAAGCTCATCTCTTTAAAAATTGATGACGAATATCCTGAAATTGGTATCCCACATGATGAGCTAGTAATAAGACATTTAATTTGCAGCCTGGAAAATCGAAAAGTTTTTCAACATTGTTCAAAATCAATGTAATTTTCAATATTTTCTAAAGAAACTTCCTTTTTATGTTCCTTGGTTGACATCTCGAATAAATCTGACCTTTTACTTGCCAACCCCACGTACTACCGCTTGTAAAAACTCGCCGCTACAGCATTTGTCAATTTACAGCTATTTTTGAACACATCTCTCTGTAAGATTAAGTCTATTTTGTCTAGTAGTAGGTAATAATAGGTTATCAAAAAATAATTAAGTGTTCTATATTTTTTTAATATGTTCTTACTTTGTAATTGAAGCTACTCTAAGTAAATAAATAAATAAATAATGACATTTTTTGTACAATGTAGAAAATTAATTTTAGAAATCGACGTATTTATTCCATACTTTACGGACACACTGTATACATTTATTAGTGAGATGTTTTAGCACCTGTTCCTCATACTGATCATTGCATCCCTGTAAAATGTTCTAAGTGCGCCACTGATACCCTTCACGAGTCGAAATGAGAAATGGGAGCAATCGGGAACTCGAGGGCGAGGGTGAGGGTGGATTGGTTCGCTGGTTTTAAGTGGTAGGATCGGCATGAATGTGGCTGTTCGGTTGTTCGAAGCAGAGCATGCATCAAACCATTTTTCATTTTGTAGGTGACACCCCGCTGCGTCTCTGCCCTCGGTACTGATTGCATTGCCAGAGAACATGATGGATAACGCCGGGAATGTATATTCGTGCGCCATTTTCTATCAAGGAGATATCATTAGTTTTGGTGAAATAATAATAATAATATTAAAAAAAATATTAAGGCCTAATGGTGATATTCCATTAAAATAAATTTATTTGTACTGCTTACAGTTTCTATAGAAAAGAATTCAATATTTTTCCTCGAACAATGTACTTAGTTCAGCGGTGCTGGAAGAGTGCTTTTATATTAGATTTTTCCGGCAAGGAAACGTTTAAGTTTGGAGAATAGATGAAAGTCACTCTGTAGTCATATGGTGCTAGATTTGGCGAATAGTGTGGGTGGCGTACAACTTGGAATGAAAATTTCTACATCTAAGCCTTCCAGATTGGACTTCATTCGGTTAATATACGAATGGTTCGAAAATTAATTAAGGTGGTACAGTGGATTTCATGGGCCTAATTGTATGATATCCCTCCATTTTTCAATGCGAAACTCATGCAATAAAACTTTGTAGTCTAAAAATTTAAGCTAATAGTCATTTTCACAAATTGTTTTATTGTTTTATTTAGGTGTTCGTGTCACATTTTCTAAAATACCAAGGAATATTAACTATGTTCCTCAGTACTTTATTCCGGAAGAGTTGTATTATTTAAACGTTATCTTGCTGGCATATCCCCACAGCTGAATGCCATATGCCCACACTGGTTAGAGTACCTGTGTATGCATTAGCAATTTATTTTAATTTGACGAGTCAGAATGTATTCCGATCCTCCATACGTTTTCTTGTAGTTTATTATTTATACGTGGGCTCTCCAGCGCAACCTTACGTTCAAAGTAATAACCAAATATTTGGGCCACGGTGTTTTCTTTTATTTGTTAAATTTAGTTATGTCCTATCGCTAATTTTATTAAGAGAGTCCTGTAATTTTCAAGCTGCCAAGATGACAGTGTCATCTACAAAGGTGGCTATTGTATTATTTTCTATTTCCCAAATATCACTGATATCACTGGTGTATAGTAGATACAAGACAGGTCCCAATACACTTCCCTGTGGTACTCCCGCTTTAATTTCGGTTAGTTTGCAAAGTTTATACTATCAATTATTTTAAGCATAAGTTTAGGGATGCTAGGACTACAAATATCTCTCAAGCAACCGACTTTGTGGATGGAGAAAAGCAAATCAAACTATTATGTTACACTCTTGTACGCATACAATTAGAAAGAGATAAAATTGTATTAAAGTCATGTTTGGCAACGCAATCTAAAGAAATTACTGAATGTCATGTATCCCCCAAGTCCGTTGCATTCGACGCTATTGAATCGAGAACCCTAATCGGCCCTGTGTTCAATTTTCCATTCCGCTCCCTTTGCTCTTCGATCCCTCTTTTGAAGCAGCCAGACGCTTTACCCCTTGGGATAAGGGTGGTAGGTGGCACGATAAGAAAGGGAGTGGGGGAGTCGCCATTAGAATATATCGAAAAAAAATGCGATAGGTTCTAGATAAATTGCAAGGGGTTAAAAGAAGGGATGTGGAAAACATGAAAAGTTTAAGAAATGCTTAGATTTTGTAAATAGTGTCAAGACGTATTGACTTCAAATAAAAAAATTTTGATTTTTTACGATTTTTTTGCTACCTATTTAAAAAATCATTTAATGCTTAAAATAATGATTATAAATGGATTATTTATATATGGTTATTTATACAATTATGTGTACACGATTCTTTATATTATTATAAAAAATACATGTTTACGGGGTGAGCCAAAAAGTTGGATCAACGTGAGTGTCGCTATTTTACAATATACCCTGTATGTCATAATGTACCCTAAATAAGCACAAATGTACATTAACAAAAATATATACTTCGGACATCATATACAGGGAGAGTAAAAAGTTATATAAAGTTGAAATATACAAAAATTGCCATGTTTTACAAAACTCTGTAGAAAAAATTAATCGGTCAAATCAAGCATAATTTTGATAATATATTAAAACAACAGTGTTGGCAAGTTTATTTTCAAAAGTTAATCCATGTTCCTATGACTACTTTTTTTTCTGTATAGGATCAATTTTATTACTGCCTTGAATGATAATAAAAATAATTATAATTTCTAGCAACAGTTATTAGGTATGTGGGTGTTAGGTCATTATTTCAAGAACAATTTTACGAATTATAGTACGTAACATAGAGAGTTTACAAATTGTTATTAATACTAAGTTACCTTCCAAAAAGCAATAATAAAACTGATCCCATAAAAAAACTAGTCATAGAAACGTGGATTATCTTGTGAAAATAAACTTGATAACACTTTTTATTTTAATAATATCAAAAATCATACTTGATTAGTCATCTCTCTACAGGGAGTTTTGTAAAAAGACCATTTTTGTATATTTCAATCTTCTATAACTTTTACTCCCCCTGTATATGATGTCCGAAGTATATATTTTTGTTGATGTGATATTGTACCTGTTTGGAACACATTACGATATACAAGGTGATACGAGGTGTGGCAGAAAAGTAATGAGACTGTTTTTTTACTTTACAAAGATTTTATTTCTTTCAAACATCAATGTTATACTTTTCAATGTAGTTCCCTTAGACAGCTACACACCGATGAAGACCCGTCATTTCGGGACTTTAGAAATCATCCAAAAGACTGTAACAGACATTCTGAAAATCATAATGGTTGAAGACTTCCAGCGCTGCTAAGAACAGTGTGAATAACGTCTCCATCGGTGTGTAGCTGTCAAAATTTTTTTCGATTTTGGTCCTTGGAACTATGAAAGTGTGGCAATATACCAAAAGTTTGCATGACTATATCTTATAAGTTAGAGATAATCTCTCAATTTTGTCAATTTTTTGTGAAAACTTTTTTTAGTATTAAATTTTTTGGATTTTGGTCCTTGGAACTATGAAAGTGTGGTACTATCCAAAGTAAATTTTCCTCTGAAATCTATTATACAAGTATATCATAGTTAATACAAATTGTTTATTCAAGACGCAATAAAAGGTTTTGCAGTACTAATCCTAGTTTTTGTTCAGAGTCTCTCATGCTTTTCGAATTATGTTTAGTTGTTTATTTAAACTATACATACAGTACAAAGGGGATGATATTTTAACCCGATTAAGTTATATATTAGAGTTGTTTTTCTTGAGAAAACAACTTGACTTGTGCAGCCGCCCTATATACCGAATTTAGATGTTTACTTTCCGCACGAAATGATATTCGAACAAATCTGAAAAGAGAACAAGAAACGCTAGATAAAAAAACTTACCTTCATTCATAGCCATATCCATTAGCTGAAGATCTTCGTCGTTAAGGATCGAAGAAAGAAAACCATCAGTTTGATTAATCTCAGACGAACCGTTCTGTATAAAAAAAAAGATTAATTGTTTTTCGAATGTCATGACTGGTCGGAGACTTCAAAAAATTTCGAGGTGGTGCACATGAAAAATGTTTTGTTTACTGTTTTTCTGTCCCCTGGAGATAACGACGGGCGAACAAAGGGCAGACTTCGATGAAGCGTATTCTTAAATCTACAGCGTTTAACCAAAATTGGATTAGAACAATTCCTAGATAATTTTGTATACATAACTATTATACAATTTGTATATTAACGAAAATGTACCATTAATAAATTAATGCAAAAAACGAAAACATGATACAGCTTCAAGATAACAACAAGCATTAGACGTAGTATCAAAATATTAACTAAATAATATTTTAACCCACTAAAATTTAACTAATCAATAGAACGAACCACAGGGGAGCATTTTAAAATTATCAAGATAAACTGAAAAGACATCTAAACTTTATCGATGCAAAGCTGTAAAAATGGAATATCAGAATAAATAAATCTAATACAACAAGTTTAACCTATTAGAAACACAAAACAACTACTTTCCAGTCTCTTATCTTTCTGTAAATATTCAGTTAAATAGTTACACAAACACATTGATCATATTTATTTATCTATATGCTGTTCAGTTTCTTTTTAAATGCACGTTGACTGTCAACTTGGCACCACAACATTGCAAAAATTATGCAAAAAATTGTGAGAGGATTGCACATTATTGCCCGTGAAATAACTTTTTTGCCCACTCTTCGTTTTCAAAATATATAGAAAATAATTTTCGCGGGTCAACTTCCAGACAAAAGTTTAATTCTATAGAATAATTGCATTTTGAAAAAAATTATAAGTAATTAAAATAAAAAGAACAAAAAAAAACTCCCAAAATACAATATGATAACTGCATTGGGTAATCATTCGTTTGCCCATTTTTTGGTATTTCAAATTTTTCGAAAAAATAAAACCAAAGAATCGGATGTCAATTTTAACATCAATGCTTTTATACGTATTTATTTTAAACACTCAAGTCCCACAACATTTTGAGTTGGCAACCCTATCTGAAGCAGTGTTGACAAGTTGTGAGAAAAAATCTCGGAGCAAGAGAAATTTATAATCGGTTGATTAGATTGGCTACAAAAATCAATTCATTAATAATTTAATGTGACGTTGTGCCTGTTAAATGATTAATTTTTTGCCCAATTATCGATATAAAGTATGAATACTTACATGAAACTATTTGGAATGTTATAAATAAAGTGCTATTGAAGTCCTATGGTCAATGAGGGCTAACAATCAAAATGTCACCACCAAGTGAGGTCCGTATTAAACTTCACTTCCATGTGGATGGTGTGTATATTTTTATTGTTTTAAATATATATTTGAGAAAATTAGACATTCCAAATAAAATGGCTACCAGTGGGTTTTGACAGGTTATTAAATGGCAAAATTATGGCAACCCTGCAGGACTGACGATTTGACAGGGTCAATGAAATAGATAGTTATATAGATTGAACATCCATGTTTTTCAAAATAAACATAAGCTTATACGCCTTGAAGTAAAAATGTAGTTAATTATTTTTTTACTATATTCAAAGGCTGAAAATTGGTTTGTAAACACATTTTTACTAAACCGATTCTGATTAATTAGCAATGTGGCCACCCGTTTTGAGCAATCTATATAACTAACTATATTTGTATCATTGATAACAGGCTCAAAGGGTCGCCATGTCTTATAGCACAAACAGGTACCATCTTTTGATTGTTAAAAATTTGAAATATATATGACATTTTCCAATGAAAAGGTTTAAAATATGTAAGGAAAAACGGAAGTGTTTATTTTTCGGTGGGTTGACTGGATTTAAAAAGAAACTGAATGGAATATAGCTACAGCTATTATTGTATAAATTAATTATAAGCCATCAATATACTAACCTAATTTCTGCAAATGTGTTGTTATGACTTAATTACCAATATTTTGTATTAATATTAATACATATCTAAATACGATATTATTTAATTATATTTCAATATCGTTTTCTAGTCTAGTGGTATTGATTAAAGCAAATTATAGCGTGATAGTCAGGAATGCATTGAATAACAAAAATGACATATTAAAAAACCATTCTCGAAACACGATAAGAACGAATTATTAAAAAAAAAGTCGAGAACGCAAGAGCGTCTCCATCATCATCATCTGGCTTCTACATCTACATCAATTTAACTAATTTCCTGTAATTATTACGGTTCGACCGTAGATCTAAGATACGGCATAACTCGAGTTACTCCTAAAGTGAAAAAATAATAAAACTAGAAGCTTTATTGACGATAAAATCAAATTTTAATAAAATAATTGTAAATTCTAATATTAACGGTTCTTAATTCGTAACCAATGGAATATTAGAAAGAAGTCAAACAATATTTAGTTCAATCCGACGAATATAATTTTTTCATTTTTATTTGCAGGTAGTTTATTGTAGGTTTGTAAGATGATCTAATATTAACGCCCTACAAAGAATCCGGGTCCAAAATCCTTAGAAATAAGACCAGTGCCTTGGTATGTACCAAATAAAATACTACAAGATCTAAATACACCAATACAATAAACGTGTAGGAAATAACCTAAAGAGGAAGTATAAACAACAACAAACCATCTTAATTATATCCGCTTAGCATCTTTAAATGCATTGGGTTAGAACAGAATCAAGTCAAAGCTGGTCTGGAACTGTCTTGGACAATTTAATAATCTAGCAACCCAAAATAAGGTAAAAGCAGCGTGGATATCAAGGTATCCAAGAAAATGAAAAGAATGATGAACTCGCTAAAGAGGGATCAGACCTACCATTCACAGAACCCAGCAGTGAACAGGTGGATAACAACCAAACTCACTGGCAACAGATAAGAGAACACATAATCAGTAAGCTCATGCTAAGGAGACCAAACCCACGCATGACTGTTGAGGTACTACAGACCGCAAGACCTAGATCATTAAGAAGACACGGTTTGCTGATGGTATTACACAACTAATTAATTGTTTAATCACCAAAGTTAAACAATAAAAATTAATAAGCCAAGAGAAATAAATTAAACGGTAATAAAGGCACTCCCTGTATAATAGAAAATTTAAGATATTTCATGATCGACGTCCATCGAGAGATCCGCGATGGATCGATTACGAAATTCAAAAAGAATGATGCGCGGCTTACTTTGGGGATAAGAAAAAATAGCACAGCGAGATAAAATATCCTTAGGGGTTTAAAAATATGCCACCTGGTAATTTTTTTAGATAGTAATTTAAAACCACCTGTAAATTCTGCATGGAAGAGGAAGAAACCTCATATCTCAGATACTAAGCTATACTTAGGTATAACCTATACCGTCTAGAACCGAAAAGAATGCCTCAGGAACACTTAATAAGAAACCTAGTAAAATTAACTAAAGGCACAGGACTATTCAAACAGTAACTAAATACGGGGAAAACACAGGTAAAAATAGAACCAAGAATCCACAGCGTTCTGAGCTAACCCTATTTGATTATAACCGGCAATGATAAAAATAAATCCAATGATAAACTACTATTTCCATAAAATAGTTCACTACTATTCGTACAATATCTTTTAAAGATATAACTAATGTGTTTAATAAATAATAAAAATAACTTTTAATACCGAAAAGCAATTTATTGCATTCATTTGACAATAAAAAGTTTGTTATATAAATACATGTTAAATTGTTTGAAAACGCTTCATATCAAAACAATTTGCTTATCAATATAGCGAATCTCCAGCAGAATTAATGCCTCGTAATGTTAAGTATAAAACACTGAACAGATAAACGATACAAAGAAGTAGCGAAGTGTGCATTAATCAACACCCAGCTCAGTAATAAAATGCCATTTTATTGAAACCACAGAAATGATACATATGATAAAGGCGCCTACCCACGTGAATAATAACAAAACATCAACATCACTTACAACTGATAAGAAGATAATCAGTTAGCTCCAGACCACAAACCTACACAGGAACATCCAACTGCCGGTGGTTAATTGCGTCCCAACTCTAGAAAATCTGACCGCGAATATCCCACTTGCGTCCCGTTATTTATAAAAGTATGGCTAGGTAGATTTTTAACAAAAATAAAAATAATTATTTAATACTTGGATAATTAGCTATAATAAATAAAATTTATTAAAAGCAATAAGATAAATAAAAAGACATATATTTTATTTTATTTTAGGGATTGTATAACATGTACTGCAATTTCATACTAAAAATATTGTGTAATTCACAATTAATTATTTTCAATGTCATACTGCTTTTCGCTTCAATTGTTTTAATAAGGACTTTCCTTATTCTTTAACGATTATGAACAGCAGGCGAAATTTATTAAAAAACATTTCGCGAATCAATTACTTTGCGAAAATCCCAATCTCCAACATCATCTAACATATTTTTGTTGTATGACTTGAAGATTCTACAAAGCTCTATAGGGGGCACTGAAAAATGTAGATAGAATTTTCAAATAAAATTATATTGATTACATCATTTAATTACAGGGCGTTTCATTAAAAATGGGACAAAATTATTGGCATGGCATCCACCGAAAATTCAGCCTGAAGCCAAATGAACATTTCATATGTCTCTGAAATTGATTTAAAATGAAAAACAGTAATTCCGAATACTTAATAAACAAAATAATTTAATAAAAATAAGAAACTCAAAAAAAATTTCTATGTAGAATCCTCTTGCTTTTATGCCTGTTCCAATTTGTTTTGATGAAACATTTTCTAACATTAAAAAAATATCTGCCGCATCTTGTCGTCTTTCTCAGAGTTCATTTCATAAAGAAAATTTCATTGGTAAAAACTAAGGACTTTATATGTTCCCAAAATTAGAAATCAGGATTTCTGAAATGCTATATAAAATCCCTTTTCCGAGCCTTTGATAAGTACGCTGGATTACTCGTTCTATCAGCTTTGCAATGAAAGGTCACAAGCCACAAGGTTTCATTTGAAAAAAACATGTTGAGGGTGGTTTCAGCTACCCCCAAAGGGCTATTTTTCAAATTGCTTACAAAATGTAGGTAAATATATTAAAACGTTGACGTGTCTCGGGAAATTTTAGAAAAATTATTCACCTTCCCCATAGCGAATTTATTCCAGTTAAGATCTCCACCCTGTATTTATGACCACGGGACGCAAGTGACCGCTTGCACATACAGCAGTTTAGAAGTTCCGCATCCTATCTACATTTTAGAGACCTGAGTATCTGTGCTACGGTTACATTTGCGCGTCAATTTGAACTAGTACTTATCGTATTTTACTTTAAATTTACATAGTAAAACGCTATGTTTCGGGAAATTTTAGAAAAATTATTCTTCTCGCTAGCGAATTTATTCCAATTAAGATCTCCACCCTGTATTTATGACCGCGGGACGCAAGTGACTGCTTGCACATACAGCACATTAGGAGTTCCGCAAACTATCTAAATTTTAGATCTGTGTTACGGTTACATTTGGACGTCAATTTGAAATAGTAACGTATTTTACTTTAAATGTATTATATTTAGCTATTTTTAATGATAAAGACCAATGCGCCTTAACGATAAAAACTTACCTGATAATAAATGTCGTGTGAAGGTTCCAGTTTGTAATGGGGTGTGTTCGATGATTCTCCCATTGGTTCGCTGCTGTTCGTCAGGTTCATGGAACTCGCTACGGCGCTCCCAAAATTTGTACCACCTATTGAGTTGATAATTACGTGACGTTTTAGAAGATTAAAAACGAATCTGGGGCGGTTCTTTTTTAACCAGTATTCGACCTTTTTGTGGTTTCATTTGGCTTAAAAATGATTGGGTATACCGCGAGTCTATAAAACGCCATCCCACTCTTGTATCAGTGTGCAATTAAGAATGGCAAAGTGTCCATATGCAAAACTCAATGCTATGATAGCTTTTGATATACAGGGCGTTGAAGATGCAAATTTGCCATTTTTAAAAAGGTTGTGCTTTTTAACAACGTACCTACTTTGATCACAAATAATTTTCAATAATAACGATTTATTGATATCGAAGAATAATTCCAATAAAACCTATGACTTAAATTATTATTAGTTACAGGGTGAGCCACAAATTACTGAAAATTGAATTTTTATTCTTTACTCTAGCATGGAATTTTTCTTCAAATTAATGTCACGTTGAAATAGCCTCGATTTAAATAAGTATACAAGGCGAATCAAAAAGTTGGTAGATCTGTTTGCCGTTATTAATCATTTTTTGCATTTGTTGTCTACGTTTAAGTGTTGACTTATTTACTTATAGGCGTACCATAAATGCCTGACTTTTATTCATAACTCAAATTGTTGCCTAAATATTTAATTTCAAAGTTATAGGATTCTGTAGTAAACATTAAACCAAATTGGAGTCAAAAATCTCATTCTGCCTTTACTAATAACGCTACCGGGATTTCACTAGACACGAACGTTATAGATGAGAAGTCACACGATTTTCCAAATTCTCAGCTATTGAGATTTTTTGGGTTCGTGGTAAATGCACCCGTGGCATTTGCGCTTTCCACGAAAAAGTGTGGCACTTGCGCTCGGGTATCTTTTTCGAGCACACCTGCTTTTTAAGAACGGCCAAGAGAGTTGTACTTGCGCCCTGTTTGTATCCAAGTAGGTAGAATAAATAAAAGAGCAAGACCAAGCAGGTAAGTAAACTTAAAATATTAAATAATGATAATGAAAATGTGTGTAAATACATTATACCTATTACTATTAGATCTATATAAAATAGTTAAGGGTTTTTACCCTTAATCTCATTTAACAGGTATTACAATAGTTGTTTTTAAATATATATAAGAGTTCCACATTTGTTCACAATTTATTCGTAAAATCACATCAAGACATTATTATAAAATCGAACACTGAGGTATTTATTAAAATTTATATTAAATTTTTAGAAGGATGTTTGTTATTTCCGTGTCATGGCTGATATAGCTGAAGTTACAATTACTTCGAAAAATAAACCTTTAGCTTTTTATAGTGGCTATCAACACAGATTAAAAAAAGAAAACAAAGTTAAACGTACCTACGTGGTTATGCATAAGGGAAAAAAGTGCACAATGTAGAGGTTCCTTAATGAAAACTTTGGAAAATATTGTCATTTCAAAACCAGGTATGTACATTATAATATACATTCAATAAAGTAGTTAGCTACTTGTTATTTATTTAATATTATATCAGGTGCAACGCAACCTATCCCTAGATCAATACAAAATATACCAGAAAAAATACTAAAATTGTAATATTTTAATTGTGTGACATCCCGTATAAATTAGTATCAGATTGATATACCATTTAATTATCGGCGCTAGCAATATGCTTAGAGAGGGAAATTTCTCTAGGTGGGGATCTGGCTGGCTCTCAATATTCGAACCTTTTCATTAAAATTAATTTTTCATCTGATAACTTAACAGTTCAGTACCCAGACTGCAAAAGATAGTAGTAAGTTATAATGTCATAAAAATATCTCAGTAAAAATTATGTTTCTACGTATTTTTACTGTTATTTATTTCAGTATTTTTTATTTAAATTTGTAAAATAATTCATTTCGTATAATTAAATAAACAAATTCATTTATATGTTAAATATTATTATTTTTAAGGTTACAACAATTCTCTTTTACTTAAATTAAATTTTATATAAGTTTTTATTAATTTTTTTTTGACAAATAAAAATAAAAATAAACTTAAATTAACAATGCACCACATAACATTAAACTAAAAATCTCCACATTGCACTTGCAACAAAATAAAGTTAGTAACAATGCAATATTTTTTCATTTTAAGTTCAGCTTTGATTTAGTTAACATAATTTTATGAAGTGCATTGAATTACTAATAAAATAATCTTTAAAATTAAATGTCACACTTTAAAATACGTAACTGGTTCTAAAATTAAAAGTAATCCAATGAAGAGTAATTCTAAATTCGCAATTCCTCTTTAAATGATCTTTTCGATGATGAGTCATACTTGGTACTTTCCCTATCTAAATATAGTAGTCAGAGTGACGGAGGGGAGAAGAATAACATATGAAAATTAAGGATATGATGAAAAGGTGTCCCCTTTGAAATAAAAATCGCCAGATTTTGTGTGTTTTTTTTTAATTATTCTTCAAGATATTCTGAGATACGGCCGCTAACAACTCTTAATCAGAGATATAAGAAAATAAAAGAAATACAAAATAAGAAACTTTTTTGGGGTAGTTATAGCCCATTTTCCAGTGATTCACCATAGTAAAAATAATAAAATTTAGAATACTAAAAATGTATCGAAGATATTTTAAGTTTACCCACCTACTACCTACCTGCAAATAAAAACAGGGCGCAACTGCCACTAACTTGACTCTTCTTAAAAAGCAGGTAAGCACCAAAAGTATGATAGGGCGCAAATGCCACAATTTTAGGTAGTGGCTGCAAGTACCACGGGCGCATCTACAATAGATTCAGATTTTTTATAACTTCTTTTTTTATTTTATTTTTTGTTTTGAAAGTAATTATTTCATAAAATTTTCGGAGCCTAATATGTATTTATATTTAAATTTTTCTCATGTTTTTTGATATATATATTTAAAAGTGTACTCTTTGGTTTTTCAGAATATGTCGTACCAGAAGATGAAGTTGAGAGATCAAGAGCACTATAATTTTTAGTAACCTTTTAAAAATAGTTACACATAGCCACCCCAGTATAAATAATAGCTTATGTCAAAGGTTATTTAAAAATATTCTTTCAATATAGCATTATTCTTGGAAAATATATATTTTGTTAGAAAGCACGGCCTTTTAAAAATAAATCAAATTCAAAAACTTATAAGATTGAATTGTACCCATGTCACTATTGTTCAGGAAGTCGACAAACAGCAGAATATAAAAAATTCAGGAAATTTAATTTCTCCATAAGCCGACTGTCTGATCATTTATTACTAAAATATCTACAGGACCGTGTCAAAAATATATTAAAAGCTGTTATTCATGTGCTTCGATCGTTTCTCCAATTAGTAATACTCCTGGTTTGATTTTGTTTTTATCACTTTACCACTTGATGAAACCTTTTGTTACATTGTTCTTGTATAAAGTGTGAAGGTTACGATCTAAAGAGTGGCTTGTAACTCAACTTGACCTTTACAAGACAACTATTGTAGTAGTATTATTATAAAATGATTTTCTATTAACTTTTGATGTGCTCCATAAGTTTTGAGAAAATAATAGCCACTTTTATGTTGTTTAATTGCAGTAGGATTATTAAATGGTGGTACAGAAAATGGCAAAGCTATGGTTCCACTACGCTTAAACCTTAGGAGCTCTAGAGACGAACTAGGGTTATTGCAAGGGAGGGGTCTAAATAGTGGAACATGTAAAATCTTATTTAAAAGCGTTTTCTTAATGAATTAATATTATTTCAAAATTGCGAATATGATCGAAGCTTATTTTGGAAAAACAATTAAAATGTTATATCGCTCTCATTTCAAAACCGATCCCGTTTTGTAAGTTATCAATGAGTTAATTTTTTGAGTTCTTTTATTAGATAATAAATACACCAGCGTTTAAAGAAAATCAAAAAACATCTATAGGTCTCCTACTATTCATATTATTCCAACTGTCAATTAGAGATAAGAGGATAGCGCTTCACAGAATCGCCCAGTTTTTATTATCTAGAATGTGCCCCAAATTCATTATTTTTTCATTGCTACATTCCCTATAATTAGTGGTAGAAAGAACTTTTGTTCCCCAAATATTACATTTTTAAACTATTTTTATTTAATAGAAAATCAAATGAATTCTTAAGAAAAGCGCATCATCCTTAGAATATTAAAATTTTGACTTCAAATCAACCAGATATTGGTGATTTTTTTTTTATTATTTAACGGTTAAATTGTTAAAACTGACATTTATAATAAAACTATGAACGATAATACATTTTTCTTATATTGAAAGCAAATTCTAATCTAATCCTTAAGGATAGGACCATCATTATAATAAATATCCAATAGAGTTCCCAACTAGTATATAATGATTTTATTAGACGGAAAACAGATGTATATCTTATTTATTAGAACTTTTAAGATATTGATTTCTAGTAAATTCAAATTTGCTGCCATACACAAATATATTTTATTATATTTTTCATAGTCAGGTTTACGTTGCTTAACGTACATTGAAAACTTAACTCACGCCGAGATATGGGCTCAGTATGCATCAATGCATTTCTCATATATACCGATGCTGTATAGAGGTATTTGAAGATTTGAGAACGAGTCTGAAACGGAGCTTGGCCCAAATTAGCACATCAAATTATCGTCTAGAAATCTCGACAGTCAATGTTGTCATGGCCTAGCGGTAAGGGCATTTGGAGCTACACTAATCGATTCTTAAAAAGTATTCGTGTTTCTGTAAAAACTATATGTTGCTTTTATAGACTAAAATTTTCATTCTAAAATTTTTGAATGCACTGAAAGATTTATTAAAAGAAAGAAAATTTACAGAATTTTTTTAATGGTGAACAAAGCTAAATTTCTAAAGGCAGCACAGTAAATTATTGGATAATTTAAGAAAAATTCAACCTATAAAAGGTAAAAATATTCTAACATTTTTTTTTTAACTGACAAATTGGCACAACCATTGAAGTACACAAATTAAAAAAATCAGTGAAATTTTGGGGATAGCCTTAAATCTTTAAACAGACCGGATTAAATTGTTGGGGCACAAAAAGAACCGAACACTGGATTCCGACGGAAAGGTAAGAGAAGACAAATAGATGTACCTACCCATCGGACAAAAGTTGTTTACATTACAAATATTTAAAAGTAATTGTGAAGAAACTGAAATACAATTCACAAATAGACTGGGGCTGAACAAAACTTTCAGTTTCCTCTTTATTTTTTTTTTAAAAACTAAAGTAATGTTATAAAATGTTTTTTTTTTTTAATTTGCTTTCAATATATAAATAATAATTATGATGAATATACAAAAAATAAAAACATTGTACCAAGCGAATTATTTATTACAATGTATCGAGTAAATGAAAATAATTCGACTCACCTAAATTACTATATGGCACAGATGAATTCAAATCGCCAATTGGAGTTGGCAAGGTGGCATTGTGGAGGAGCACCCCTCTTGCTGCTTCTGGACTATAACCCATGCTATGAGGGTGCGGATGGTGGGTATAATTGTGCAAATGATGATGGTGGTGGCTAAAGGGATGATGGATGCCGCCTCCGTCAGGACTAGGAAGACTAAGGAGATTAGCAAGGTCCTGCCATCTCTGTTCCATGCTCATCGTACGGACGAACGGCATGCGGGACTGAAAAGAAGAAAATAATAGAAAAAACTGGTAATAAAGTAACCAAGTGTGCGTCACGGTAAATAGATTTTTTTCATTAAAACATTACCCACTGGCATTTGCGAGAAATATTTTTATTACTACATTAACATTATGACGTAAATTATGATACCTACTTTACTTCTTTATAGTATTTCGAATTTATATATAAAAAGACCAGTGTTAGAACAAAATACATTCCGGGCTAATTGCCCCTCTGGAATGATCATGTACTAATAGGTACTAATTCTTTGATTTTTCAGTCCACGAGACTGATTAAGACTATCATCAGGCCTGTTTGGCCATAATATTTTACTTGTCTAAATCTTGCATTTCAAAGCTAATAAGATGGGCTTTTAATGTTGTTTTTCAGGCATATACTATCTTTTCTAATTGAAAATTTTTTGTATATCCACATATGGTATAGAGACTATTTATTTTAATACGAACTTTTTTTTAATTGCATTTTAGATATATATTTACAACATTGAAGTTTTATTCCAGTATATGGATATATTTTGGATGTGAATAATACTAATATTTCATATCGTCATGTCTAAGTAGTTATCAGAGTCTTGTCAATAATCGCTCTTTAAACCACTAAATTTATCACTTCTTCAGACAGCTACGAGTTGTACTGTCAGTCATGGGCGTCGTTTGGAGGGGGCAAGGGGGCAGTTCCCCCCCCCCCCCCCCCCCCCCCCACTGGCTTTTACGACTTAATCAACAACGCGTAAGATATGCATTACGAACAACAATCTCATAGAAATAATATTCATGCTAATATAGTTGAAGAATATTATAGGTTGAATATATTTATTGCATATCTGGATTCCTCCCTTATTACGTCGCTTACATCACGCTTTTCCGAATGCTCTAGTGTTAGTTTTTCCTTAAGCCGGTTACATCCCAAAACCATAAAAAATAATACTTTTTTCACTACCGATCAGCAAATGAAAGTAATGGAAAGATTTGGAATCGACAATTTTAAAGCCGAATACCAAACGTGGGATAGCTAACTGAAGTACGAAACATTGGAAATTTTATCCAGACATACAAAGTGCTTTAAAAATATTTATGGCTCTTCCACCAACGACTGAGTCAATCGAAAGAACGTTTAGCACGCTAAGGCATGTTAAAACATGGCTGCGGTCTATTCACTCAGTGCGAAGTCATGGTAGGGAAAGCTAAAGCGATACTAGCGCAAGTTGCGGTTAATTCTAGTACATTAGGGCGATATTTTGTAAATTTGGCTTATCAAATACACGTATACATTTTACTTTATTTTTTTTTTAAATAGGTAAAAACAATAAAATGAGCAACCAGAATTGCTATGTTGTAAATTGTAAAAATACTAGCAAAAAACTGTAAATTATATAAATTTTCAGTAGCAAAATGAAAATTAAATCAAAGAAATAAATGGATAGCTGCATAAGAAGAAAAAACCTTCATTTCTGTAATAATAACAGTAATACTGGAAATGATAGACATCAGAAAAGATTTTAAATAAACAATAAAATATTATTTTACGATGTTCTTCAACATCCCTTAAATCTTAAATGTTTAGCAAATGATTAGATTTCTGCCTTTGATTATTGTAAATAGCTGAAATGAAATTTTGTGACTTATTGTAAGAAACCAGTTTTAATCATTAATTTCTATGGGTTCCTTCGAACTAAAAATGAAGGAAATATAAATTACAATCGCAAATATATCAATTATTTTTGTAAATACATTTTAATTCTACGTTAATATATAATTTTAACATTATTTAACCTATTCTTCAATGACAACTTATTAGGCTTAGGAAACTTCTCATACATTTTTTCGTAAATACCTGCATATGTTTTATTATTGACTTTTATTGATTATACTACTTCTTTAGCTGAAGTAATAAAAATATATAATAATAAAAAATTCATTTTTTTACTTGTTTTACAAATCCATATACTTTTATTAAAATCAACGTATATATTTTTTAATTCGAATTCTATTAAAAATTGTATTGTCAGTATACGCAAATATCGTCTGTTCGTTCATAAAATAATTAGCTCTGCTGTCACGCACGGAGCGAATAATGAATGAAAATAGGCTGACTGGGCTATGCATAATGAGTACATCGAAAAATAATCGGAGAAAACAAAAAAGAAATTGTTTTCCGTTATCGATGTTTTTGGTAGAAAAAAAAATTAATTTTCGTTTTCCTAGTGTTTTCTTTTGTGTTCGTCGACGTGTTTAAGTGAGTTTTATGTTTTTGTGTATTATAAATTTCTATTTGTTTTTTTAAAATGAGTTTTAAGTTTCTTGTTTTTTTTTTTATTTTAATTTTTGTCTTTTTATTTATTAGAGACTTGTTATGACATTTTAAGTATCAGTTCTGTCAAATAGGTCAGTAACATTGTAAGGGTTAATACTAAAGTTATTAATGTTACTTTTATCCAACTGATTATATCAATTTAGACAGGTGGGATACGGGTATACAGGGTGGGTTACTTAAAAGTTCCACTGCCCCTTATCTTCGCTATTCATTAAGATATCGAAATAATTTTGTTTTGTTTGAAAGACTGGAGCAAATACTTTCTTACGATGGATTCAATTATTCTGTGACGTCAGGCTTACTTCCGGTTTTTCCGGAAATAACAGAAAATTGTAATCTTTTTAAAATTTTTAATTTTAATTTCTTGGAGATTTTTGTATAATAATCGTGTATTGAAAATTTTCTGTCAGCTGTTAAAATGGCCGTCATATTGGATAATATTTGTTCTAAACATGTTACTATTAATTCGTTTATGGAAAAAATATAGGAATGTATGATCTTTATAAGTTTCAAAATTTCCATTGAGACCCATTTACCGTATAGCAGTGGCGTATCTAAGCATTTTTATTATTAGCAAACCGTTTAATAATTCCACCTGCTTTTATCTTTGTTGTTGAGATGTTGGAATGAAAACTTTTTTGTTTAATAGCTTGGAACAAATACTGTCATATACTGGATTCAATTGATGTGTGACATCATGGCATACTTCTGGTTTTTCGGAAATAACAGAAAATCTCAATTTATTTTTAATATTTAAAGAGAAACTCCCTATTTTATTAAAAATTTGAATTTCAGGGACATTTATGAATAAAAATCGTATTTTCTTTAATATGTTACTGTCAAAAAATTTTCAATACACGCTTCTTATACAAAGTATCCCAGAAATTCAAATTTTTGAAAGGGTTTCCATTTAAAAATAAATTGCGATTTTCTGTTATTTCTGGAAAAACCTGAAGTGAGCCATGACGTTACAGAATAATTGAATCCATCATAAGAAAATGCTCTTTTATTTTTCATTTTTTTTTTGTTTTCCAACAAATAAACATTCCAAATTTTTTTCAAAATTTTGCCCCTCCCTATGCCGTCAAGGAAATATAGCAAGAAGACCGAAGGGCAAAATAGCTAGGGCATATCTAACGAGCAGGAAACAAAGAAATAATAAAAATAATAATGAACTGGGAACCGGCAGGAAGAAGGAAACAGAGTAGACCAAGATTTAAATGGATTCAATAGTTAAGAATTATTTAAATGATATAGGAATAAGGAATAGTTCATGCAGAAAATATTGAAATGGATACGAAGAGATGGAAAACAATTAATTGGCAAATAAGTAGGATAACTTAGAATAGGGAATGATTCACCAAGAAAAACACGGACCTGGAAAATCATCATAATACCCAACAAAAGTGTGTTCATCGCTTTTTGTATTCCATTTGTTTCTTCTATATTTAGGAATATTGACCATGGCTAATACACGCAACACGCAAATGATTTAGATTAACCTGTCTTCTAGTCCATACTTCTTCAGTGATCTCTCCGCTTAGAGGAGAATCTGGTGTTCGGTTTCTAGGGTACACATCCGTATTCCATGCTTCGGCCCATACATTTATTTCTGGAACACCATCTAATTTAATATTTTTATTTATTTATGAAAAAAGCAAAGTGAACTTAATTCAAATAACATACATTTTGATGAAAATGATGGAAATGAAAACTAAAAAACGACTGATCATTTGGATAAACCTCTTCCAAATCCGGGGATAGCTGTAGTTACTGGTTTCGGCACAAAAAATTGGAAAAATCTAACTATTCACGGCGTCCTCTAAAGTAAACTCATGGAGGAAACTATTGCGAATTTGAATCACCCATTTATTCACCAAACAGAATGGGAAGAGCCCTTTAGATATATGAAGATAACTTATTTTTACTAAAATTTGACTTATCCACTTATTCACGGATGGTACAGATTTTATCCATAGCGTTTTAATTTTTCTTTTACCCTGTCTTCCAGGCCCATGATGTGATTCAGAAGCAACCGTTCAAGAATAATTTTTAGAGTTTTATTTTATACGGTGACAACTATATATAAAAAAAAAATTAAGTGCTTTAGAATAAAAGGGGTATGAGTGCATTTTGGAATAAAAAGGATACAAGTGACGCTTGTACCTGTTTTGCTCTCACCAAACTGTAGGAATTCTTCACATAGTATTTCTACTCACCAAAAAATTGCAGTCTAGGTCAATATATCACTCCAAATCTGTTTTGCACCAAACAAACATTAACTTTAAATATTCATATATGCTATTATCTACAGAAAAAAATGTACAATAAAAAAAAACACTTATACCCCTTTTATTCCAAAGCCCTCAATGTTGACATTACTGCATATTCATAACTATACATTATACAGGCAGGGCTCGCAGAATTGTAGTATGTCCTCTAGAAGTATTTTCTAAACGATCAAAATTAGATATTGTTTTGCAATGTGTTTCTTTGATTATATTTAGATTTATGTATCACTTTTCAGGATAACATAAGAATCCTTTGAAATATGGCAGACGTTTCGAGGTGAATTTTAATTTATTTGAAAGCGAAAAGAAAAATGAGCTAGTTTGAAGATGAAATTGTGTTTTGATTAAAAGCGCAAGTAATGTTTTTTACAACC